TCCGGCGTCGTAAGGAAACCTGAAGTAAAATTAGGGAAGGGAATGAAGCGAGGCGAGTGTGTTGCGAGCCAAATGCAGACCTCTTGTAATTTTCCGAGATGCAAACCGGGCGCTCGCGCGCGCAAAAACGTATCGGGGGGGCGTCAAAAATTACCTAACTCGATAGAGAGACTCCTGTTCCCGCAAATATTGGATGATGCGACTTAACCGAGCGCAACAACCCGAGTTGCATTTGGTGGAACGAAACGTTTGGCCAACGCGGCAGCGCAACCAGCATCACTTCGAGCACGGTATTGAATATCCCACAGTAAACACATCAGGACTCCGACGGTGGCATCGCGATATCGTGCCGCGGAATACGTACGTACACGTCTGTCCCGTCACTTTTCGAAAACATTTCACATTTGCCCGGCGCGGATACGCGCTACCTCGGGGAACAACAAAATCCCGAAATAACAGCCGATTTCAACGTAACAATCGGCAATTTTATTCGCCGGCGAAAGAGAGAAAGAGAGAAAGAGAGGAGCTGTGCGGCTCTAAAGAAAATCCGTCCGAGAGAACCGCGGGCTGGAAGTTGAATTTATCAAAGCAAACGAAATGGCAAATGGTGACACAGCGAGCGACGAGAAGATAAGTAAGAAGATGGAACGGCGAATGTCGCGAAACGAAAAGGAGCGAAATATCAGTGAAAAATAAATGTTCGCTGTGAATTATAGTTTAACGACATTCAATCTTATCTTGTTGCCACAAGCTCAAAACTGTTGAACAGGGCAAAATTGCTCGCGACGTATCTAAAAATGAAACACGGATATACAAGGTAATTAATGGATAAAATTAATTAGATAATTTCTCTTGTTCAAAGAACGTCGCAGTGCAGAAAAAGTACAAAATTTATGAAGGAAAACGTCATCGGGGGGACCTGTGCCTTTTAGACCGAAAACGCGATAATACGCAGATCGCGAATTGTTTCATTTAGTGCACCCCAGCAAATGGTAACGCTGTAATTTTACTTAATCCACTATTTCATACGCAGAAATATATATATATTAGTATATACATATATATATATATTTAATTCATAATCATGTCTATGATCGGTCAATCGCTTTATTAATGAGTTAACAAATTAATATGTCGTATAAATTCATTAAAAAGCCATATGTTGCGCAATGCGCGCGGCAGGCAATATAACTAGTGTATTCAACCGCTTCATTAATAATTTCGATACGTTTTTAGCAGTCACGCAGGACGATAATCCGTGCAATCGATTCTGTCATTTTGCAATTTTCTACAACTTCACCAGCGGTACAATTTTGCCAGCTCGCGGCGACGGGAATAAGCTATCAAAAAAACCAAGTTGAAAATGGCAAATTTGATAAATGGCGAAGAGAAAAGAGGAGGATGAGCGAACGTCACAAAGGAAAAGTAAAAGTACGGTGTGCGCCGGTGAGATGCGGAAAAAGGGGGAGGGTTCCATTATCAGAATGCGCGAGAAGAGACTGAAGAGACTGATAAGACAAAAGTACTAACCCGTGAGGAGGTGGAAGGGAAAACCATTCCAACGGATCATTGAGCCCAAGATGTTCCATCGAAATCGATCCCGCGGGATGCCGATTTCCAGCAGGAGCATGTAATGAGGTTGACGAGACCCTCTTCCGTTTCCCCTCATCGTGCCAACTTCCGCACGCGTCTCTCAAACTTGGATAAATTACAGGTTTTAACACGCGTAGAAATTGCGTGGCTCACCGAGCTGCGCTCTCGCAACACTCGATAAATTCATATTAAATTTGTGGATCGATTAAAATTTAACCGAAGATAATACGTCTCCCTCTTGCAAATATAAATAAATAATCAAACTCTGTGACGTCACGGGAATCACAAATCTAGAACCGCACAAACACTGGATCTACTTTAGAATCGCGAATACGCGTTTGAACGAATCAGAAGGATTTAAAGAATCACAGAGAATAATTCACGTACGTCTGTCCTTCGCGGCACGTAAATGACTACTAATAAAACTCTGTAACATCACACTGATATAGAATCTATAATCGAATGATCGATGAAGAGGGGAAAGTGTTACGGCTTCGAAGTCGAAGTTGACCTTACTTGGGGATTAAATACAATAACAATTATGAAATTCTTTGAATAAATGTCAGAAATAAGAAAGTTAGCGGCTTTTTTTTTTAATACAATATTGATAAAGAGAGATATAATTTTATTATTGATGTGTAACTATTTAATTTTGTTGTAATAATTAAAAATCATCTAACGTATTGTTAATGATTGAAAATCGTACGCAATGCAATGTCAAAGAGAAAATTAAAAATTATAATAAACTTTTTGTAACTGACAGAACGAAGAATATAAATATTCAATTTAAATATAACGTCCATTTATTCTGGATCGATTTACAGTCACGAGAGTTAATCGGTGAGTAATTGGTCGCTGTTTTAATTTAATCGTCAACGCAGAGTCAGCACTTTATACGATTAATGAACTGAAAATTGGATATTATTTATCCGTCCTGATGATCGAGTAGAATTAAATAAAAATCAATTCGATTCGATTCGAAACATCGCTCGCCCGAGTAATTACAAGTACGTCGTTTACAATATAAATTTGCGCGTATCGCGAACGCGAGTGTATCAAATATATATATTTCGCAAAATATTTCAAAGCGATCACAGAGAGAGAGAGAGAGAGAGTCGTGTTTATTGTCCGCGCGCGCGCGTAACAAGAACGCACGAAACTTTCTACATCGAAAGGATCGTAAAAGTTTAACGAATTCCTGAAACATAAGTTTGCGTTTGCGTTACGTAAGTTTGAGAAATTTAACTTTGTCGGCGTTGTTTAATTTTATGCTTGCGAAGGGACGAACGCCCTTCGAAACGTTAATTTACGAGTTACAACGACGGCGGGTTCTAAAAACCCATGTATCGAACTCATACAGGGAATAAGAAAGTTCGGCTTTCCGAAGCGGCAGAAATATACGTGTAGTTGCTGAATATGGCTACGTTAGAACGCATCGTCGATGCGCGCGCGTGTGTGTGTGTGTGCGCGCGTTCGCCGGCATTATTGCGCCTCGTACATACGGCCGGATTAAACCGTGGACTTTCGAACGAAAGTTTCGCATATTATCCTGCGTTAGACCGCAACGCGCGGTTTAGATAACAGAACGGAAGGAAGGCAGCAGCGCGGCGCTTATCAAACTCGGCGGCAGCACTAACTTTACCGTCCGATTAATCGCACGCTTTTGAGGCCACGGCGGCGTGGTATAAAACAGCTCGACGACTGATATTCTTATTTTCGAGATTCGATGCTTGCAGTAAACGCAGTGGACTGGTAAAATTAAATTGCGCTTGTATTTGCGCGTTTAATGAAAGAAACGGCAAAAAAAAAAGCGAAACGCTTCGTTCTTCTCCCAATGAGGCAATTACGCTTGGCATACAATTACTTAGAATTGCTCTTTCGCGGAAGAGAATAAGCGCGCGATATAATATCAAAAGTTATGCATTGAAATAAGTAATTGCAAAGCAGAGATTTTTTTCTACAATACGTTTATTGCTCGCAGTACGAGTTCGTAAAATTAAGATTTTGGCATACTTTAATTTTCAAGCTGAATTTAGAATTTCTATTTCGTGACAAAAATTTTAGATTTTTTGCTCAAAAAAGATTATGAAGAGAGTAATTCGGTAAAATTTCTGGTTTTTACATGAAGAATTGAGAGAAACGGGACTCGCGCGAAAGTTTATAGTATGCAAGAGAAATTTGAATTAATAATCGCGCATTTATTTTCGGCGAGATGGGAGAACATATGACGTTCAAATATTTTAACCTCGAAAGACAGCCGAGAAGAAGAAGTGAATATCCAACAACGCGTTGTCAGGGATGTTCTACGATATTCACGCTCCCTTAAGAAGGCTTACGTGCCTCTCAGACGGAGGCACGCTGCCGTAAGGTTCCGGCTGTGGATTAGTTTATTTAAAAATCCTTTACTCGGACCTCTCTCTCCTCCTCTCTCTCTCTCTCTCTCTCTCGCGACGCTCTTCGCCCTCTTCTTCCTTTCAATTCGCGTGTACCGAACGTTGGACTCTGTGAAACTCGCGTTAAAGCGGTACTTCTAGTGAGCGTCGTCGAGTGGAACAGACGTAGGATAAACACGACGTGCGCCGGGGCCTTGCGACGAGTACACTACTAGCGTTTAGCCGACTACGTCGCACCTAATTTTCCGGCACAAATGCGAGAGCTGCAATAACAATGCGCAATATTTAGATTACTGTAATGCTAAATATTTTATGCGCGCTAAACTTTTCATTAAACAACGAGATCTATTGAACTTTCGTAAGAAAATATTGTACTTTTATAATTTTTTGCCTCGCTTTTATAAATTTTCACTAGTTTTTATAAGACGGGGAATATTTTCTCCAATAATTCGAATATTTCTTATAAGATAATTAAAATACACGGTGAAAAAATATTGATGTACGCTAATAACTTGGAAAGATAGTTAAGAATTATACAAAGTTACACAGTACACAGAGAGCAAACTCCTATTCACTTGTCGCGGAGAAGAGATCGCGTCCGTACTTAGAATAATATTTATCCTGGAAAATATCCTCGGGGCATAAGTCGCCGGCGAAGCAATTTGCACCGAGCGTCGGGGGCGAACCTTTCCTGTATCACCGGTCGTACCGTACTTTACAACCTCTTTCGTCGATCCTGCGAAACGCGCCGGAAAGAATTCTCGCTAAAAGGAAAAACCATCATATCGTATTTTTTTTTTCCACCCTCGCACGCTTTCACCCTGCGCGAACTGAAAGGTAGTCCTTCGGACGGGCTTATCTCCTCGTCTTCATAGCCAATGCCCATCGGCGCTGCCCAATAAAAACCGTATCCCCGTCATTGGTTAGTCGCTCTTTCGCCCGTCCGCCATTCTCGCCTCGACTTCGGAGAGATATCAGAGCGCCGTCTCAACGGTCGCCCGATCTCTGTTCCAGATAATCAGCTACGACTCAACCAGAGGCGGCGTCTCCGTGGTCACGGAGAAGGGTGACAGCACGACGAGTTTCCTCCTGGTGCAAGAAGCGAAGCCGTCGGACTCGGGACGGTACACTTGTAACCCCAGTAATGCTCAACCGAAATCGATCACCGTACACGTACTCAACGGTGAGTAATCGAAGACGCGAGGACGGCGCGCCGGCTTCTTGCGGCCGCGTCTGCAACAAGAGGACTCGCGGATTGTGTGCGTTAAAAGCGCTTTCAACGCCGAATGACTTATTAAGCAGTTTTTTAATTGTACATTTTGATTGATTCGATTTCTTACTCGCGAGCCATCGTTGATACGAGTGCCATTTCTCTTTGGCTTATCTTCCAAAATTAACATTCAACGACATCCTGTGTACGATATATCTCGAGTTGGCAAATTTTCCTCTCGCCGGGGGAAGGATGCATCTAGCGTCATTTGTAGACGGGGAAATAATTAACTAAATTGCAGTGGACGGTCGCCGCGGCGTTCTATTTCAGCCGGGCAATAAAAAGAACAATAGGGGGAGAAAAGAAGGAAAGTGAATGACGGGCGAACGCCCCCGCGAGCCTTCAGAAAATTTAAGTGTTGCCCTCTGTTTCAGGAGAGTATCCCGCGGCAATGCAGCACGGCGGTCAGGCCAAGCAACCGAGGCTGTATTCTCTTCTACTCTGCCTGTGTCTGCTACTTTACTAATTGCCCCGTTCCATCGCGCATTTTCGAAGAGAGAAGTCGGAAGGCACTTTCGAGTGAGGAGGTGGAGGAGGTGGAGGAGGAGGAAGGAGGGGAAAAGAGTGAAGAGACGAGAGAGAGACTGAAAGAGAGAGGTATTTCCGTCGCGAGTTGCCGTCGCGAACGTTGCCGAAGTGTCACGGAAGCCACGAGAAGATACATATGCGCGACGATGCGCATCCGACGGGGACGCTTTTGACTGTGCACCGGAACGATGATTCTTTCGCAACGACGCGCCGTTTGTCGATGCGGCAGAGCAACGACGACGCGCTTCCGGCAGGGCGCTGCAACGACGTAGTGTGACGATGCTTTTAGCGGCGCCTCGTCGATGAGGGCCACACGATATTCGGGATTGCGAACACATATTGGTACACGTAAGAGAGCGCGTCACGGTTACGAAGTTCCGATATGTAACAGGCGTTGACGAACGGACACAGCTTAGTCGTGAATAATTTCATATAATTTCGCGTTATTGATCGAAGGAAGACGATGAATACATTTATTCCATCGGATATAATTCAATGAAACTTAACTCGAAGGACAATGGAAATAAACGTGAGAGATGCGACGGAGATACGAAAATATATTCAAGGTGTTGCGGAAGTTGCGTATTTTCGTGTGCTTTTCATTTCTGTTATTCTGAAATTATCCGGAGCTCAAATTAAAATCCTCTCGAAATAAAGCATAACGATTTGCGATTTATTTGCACTTCGAGGATCTCTACGAATTGTGATCTTTCGCAGTTTCGGAAACTCTCCATCGATTCTCTTCTCGGTGTGACTGCAAACATCTTTGTTCGAGGAAAACGCGAGTCTTCTGCGACATCTTGTTCACATACACACGTAGCGGAAGCGTGAACGTGAAGCACGAAAGCGAAAAGAGGCCGGGAACGCGGGAAGAGCAGCGCACACATCGCCGGCGCTCGCCTTTCTTCGCGATTAATTCGAATAGACTCGGGACGTCTGCCGGGACTCGGACTTCCAGCTGGCAAAGCTGGACTGCGGGCGCATCGAAGAGGAATGCGAATCGTTGCCGCACAGCCGCGGCTTTGACCGAGTCCGGTGTACGGTTCGAAAGCCGCGCACGACTACACTACCATCGGTCACCAGCCAGTGTGTATCACTGTACGCCGATTCTTCCGCGGTGGCATAGACAAAAGCCTTTTGTCGATTCTCGTGTTCCAATATTGACGCCGCACTTCCGGCAAAATCTCGAATTTCCACGCCAAGATCGAGAGGTATTGCGGAGGAGGCGATTATCGCGCAATCGGATCACACGTCTTAACTCTTCCTTTTATTTTCTCGCACAGGATTGCGCGGCGAATCTCGAATTCATTGTCAGGCGAACAAAACGAAAGTCATTACGCCGAGCGATTCTCGAGTCGGCGGTAGCGACTTGTTGAATTATCTCAAGGATTTTGTATTTCAACTAAGCGGAGTTATCAAAATTAAGAAAATGTCGTTGCCTAAAGCGACGCAATTGTTTATGTGAAACAGAAACTGCATACTATGAAATTCAATAACAATTACGATTCTATTCCGACAGTTGTTTTCACAAAGGGCGCGGAGACAAAGCGGGATTCACGGTGTTTGACAATATTTGCATTAAATGCAATCATGTTATCTGATGCGTTTGAAAAATTCGTGGAGGAACGGAATTTTTTACATTGCAAAGCGAAATACATTTATGCGATGAATGCATAAAAGAGATTTTTCGAAAAATATTAATATTAATAGAACTACAATTGACAGCGGTGTTTCTAAAAAAAATGTAGAAGTAAAATTCAGTCATCTTGCCAGGTTTCGAAACTTTGACTAGCGGACTGATATCTACGTCATAAAGCAAATTAAATTTTGTAAATGTACGCGGAACTTTTATCTGAATTAACAGAAATATGTTATAAAAGCGTTCGTTATAACAAAGCGTGGAATGAAAGTATTTAACAACATGGAATTAAAATTAAATCCTCTTAATTAATTCAAATATACGGAATCTTTCGTATTCTGCGCGGTTTTTCGCATTTACGCAATTTACCGAGCGCGGAATTGTGCGTGTCGGCGAAAATCGCGGGATATCTCAGCGATAAAAAGTGAAATTTATTTTCCCCGCGCTTCCCTCGCGAAAGCAGTTCCGCGGTGAGCGAGGATAATGAAGAAGAGTCGGCCGTGCAATCCGCGTGTACAGCGGGCACGCCAGCGCGAGAGTGACGCACGCCACGAGGATAGCAACGGAAGCGTATCGTCCTGATCGATCAAGCCCGGTGCGAAAAGCACGAGAACGCATTCGGTTCAATTAGCTCTCGGCAATTTGCTCTTTTCTTCTACAACTACCCATTCGTCTTTACCGGCCAGAGCAACCGGCAGCTTCAAGTATAATATCGAATTTCGCACGGCGCCTTCGGCACAACCTATAACTCACGCGCTCGCGCTGTCCCATTCGTTTCTTGCACGTACTTCACTTTTCATCGAAACATGCGAAAGACGCTACGCGAGTTTTCGCTGATTACTTTCTCTTTACATTTCTCGCGCTTCTAAATTGTTTCGAAATGCCGAGAAAATATTTGCATAATTTTTCATACACATCGGCTAAAGAAAGCTTCCGCGCATCGTTTATTTGATAACAAACTGATTTGTGCGAAAAATGTCGAAATAGATCTATTTTGTTTTCGAGAGAGATTTACGATTGTGATAAATTCTCTCGATAAAAAAATTGCCTTATTTCGACATTTTTCGCACAAATCAGTCAGTTGCAAAATAAAGTTTTTTTTAACTCAACCTGCATATATTTATTTATGTTAGACCGGCAAAAATTATGGTTTGCAATATAATTTATTAACGCTCTATCTCATTGAAATATATGATATTTTAAAGATAATCTCTGATTAAAAAGAATACGCGAAAAAATTTACTTATGCGACTCTTGGATTCTGCCGATTCTTCTTGCAAATAAGAAAGTATGACGTTGATTTCTCTTCTCTTCTCGGAAGCCGTGTTCGATCGAGACGCGCGCGAATTAGCTATTACAGTCGATTCAGCGACCGGTTTAAAACACATTTAGAAACTCGTGAGCGATTTCTTGCGCGGAACGGCGCATAATTCAGTACGACCGCGTTTCGCCAGCGCCGACAACGCCGCCGCGTTCGTTCGTAACGATTAATAAAACTTCGAGCTGTCGCGAACGGCGGCGAAAGCAGGACGGACACGGAAAATATGAATAATGAATGAAAGAAAGCGCGGGGAAAATATTCCGAGCCGAAAGTACGCGCGCGGGCGCGCGCGCGCGTGTCGAGTGCGACAGGCGAGCAATATCCGGTATCCGCAACGGAAAAACGTGATTAAAAAAGTTTCCAACGACACAGTAATACAATGCCTCGACCGCGCGTAAGAACGCCTCTTGTCGTCGGAGTCGAGCGGATAATCAAGCCCCTGTCTCTGGCCCCCTTATTTTCCGGCGCAAAAAGATAGCGACCCTCGGCCCCTGGCCGGAGGTGGACGTTTAGTGGACCCTTCCTCCGACATTGCCCACCCATCCGCGGCCGGCCTTGCCTCCATTCTTTCTCCTCGCCGGGAAATCGGGCGGTTCCGGACTACGACGGGGAAAAAAAAAGCGCGGTCGTAGGCACGAAGGTAAAAAGGACGAGAGGAAACGGAGAAAGATGGTGCGAGCCGCAGCGACACTCGGCGAATTCGCCTTCATTTATCAAGTTAAACGCGCGGTACGCCGCATAATGTCGACGCCGAGGTTCTCCGTCGCGTGGACTCTCTCGACGCTGCGCGCCCGGCTTCGCGCGCTAATCCGTCCCGGCGCCAACGCCGGACCGGCACGGCACGGCGAATCGAACATCGCGCCGTTAATTCGGCGTTTCATGCGGCGGAAGCTGCGCGGGCGGATATATACTCGTGTGCGCGCGTAATACCGGCGTATCTCGCGCTCAAGATACGAGATCGCGCGACAGCCGGAAAATAAAGCCGTCGTATATCGACGGATTAGACGCTGACCCTTTCCCCGACGAGGGACGAAATGATAATCCCTGGTCGAGCGCGCAGCAACGTCGCACGTAAGCCGTGAAAATTAATGTATCTATACGAATTATCGCGAAATCGACAATTGAGAAATTCGAAACGTACAAAATTCTGTCAGTGGATCTTTCGTGCGTAACAAACGCGCGATGAAAGCCACTGCGACTCTTTAGTCGAAAGGAGTTGAGGGCTCATCGGAGCTTTTCCTCGACTTTTTCGCGCGAAGGATCGGGGCTGATTTATGTATGAACGTGATTGCGAGGCATTGTAATAATTCAAGATCGCCAGCCGGCTGCGCTTCCGTTTTCCGTTGCAGAGCGCCGTATTCTTCGATACATTTTAAGCCGAAGGTGTATTCTACGAGAGAAACAGGAGGGGGAGGGGAAAAGAGGGGTGGGTGAGAGGAGGTGTCTCGGAAGTGAACACGGCGCTGCGCAATATCGGGAGTTCGGGGGTGCATGCAACGCGTGCCTATCGTCGTTTCTTGGTATTTCCATCTACTTTTATTCTTTACTATAATAGCATCCGACATGAGAATGCCGTTCGTGACCAGCAAACGAGACTCCCTATGTGCTCGCGCTCGGTCGGACGTGCTCGTTTTTCCTCCCGTTTCGCTTTTCCGGAGCGTCCGCAGCTCCAGCGTACGTGCAGCTGGCTTTAATTAAAAATGAGCGGCATTTTTTCTCATATTACGTCAACGGACTATACCCGTGGTAAACGTTATTGTTTCATTTCTGGCCGTTACCGCGTCGGCCGTCTTTACGAATTGTTGATTTCTAGCGGAACGCCGGGACAATCGGGAAATATAATGAGCATCGAGCCAATCAAGATTTTCAAAGAAATCGCGCGATCGTGTAAAATTGGGAGGAACGATAAATTTTTATTCCGACGTTCTTTTAATCAGAGAAAGGGCGATCCTCGCGCGGCGATTTAGTTTAAAATTCTTCGGAAAAATGAGGATTTTCTAAAGCAATTTTATCGACGCGGAGAAAATAAATTGCGAGCTGTGTATCTTTCTTACATTCATAAGGAAAAATAGAGGGTACATGAATCGAGTGAAGATTAACACTTTTACTTTCCGGCGATAAGCGTATGAATGAATACAGCAACCGCGGAAGGGCGCGATCTTCCGACCTGCCGCCCGAGTCGCTCGGCATCGCCACTTGCGTTACATATTCAGATCCGCAGAGTGCATCGCCCGACAACTGTCTCCCCGAAGAGCACTCATTAAGGCGCGAAACTAAACGTCGATGCAATTTCTGGTTCCGGTTACAAGCGCAGCGCGGCGGGGACATTATCGCTTGCGAATTGGAGTCGCGTTACAAAAGCCGACACGGCGCGCACTCAACGCGCGTTTTGGGAACGGAGCGTCGGTCAACAATCAAGTCTGTCTCTTATAATATCGCGAGCGTACGGGCCGCCATGAAGAGAGCACTTCTATCGCGACGAATGTAATTCGACGAGAGCTCCCGCGAGGGGGAGAATGTCAAAGAACATGCGCGCGCCCACGTGCGCTTCAAGCTCGCGAGGTTCTCTTCTATGATTTAGGGATGAAACTTGACGTATTTACGGTCGCCGAATTCGCGTGGCGAAATACCCAGGTGGACACGCGTCGCGTTTTTAAACCCGTACGAACGCTCGCGATACACGGTTACGAAGATTAAACGTTTCGCTTTTACCCGTCTCTTCTCTTCCGCAGCCGGATGAATCTGTCCGCTTAGAAGTTTATAGGGTTTGTAAGGTAACTTTATACGGTTTTTATACCACCACCGGAACGGAACGGCCACTGCCAAAGCGGATCCGCGAGGCATGGGCGTGCGAACGAGAGAGCGACATACCCATCAGTTAAAATGCAATTTTGCGTCGAAAAAGTCGCGCGCGCGCGCGCGACGGCAGTTCTCGGTGAATTTTTACACAATCGGTCGTCCGACCGCTGCGCGACGCGCGGTTTTAATTTACAGCCTAAATAGTTGAATTCAAAAGCGGATTGAATCACGCGCGGTAGTCGCGACGCGCATTAGTATTCAGCGACAACCGCCGTGCCGACTCGCGCGCGGCAGATTCCGCTCTGAAGCCTGCATAATGCCG